AGACAGTTCTCTGGAAGTCTGCTGGCATGCCGTCACCTCCACCTCTAGATCCTCAAAACTTTGGATGGGAGAAGAAGTCTAACCTGCTCCAGGTTGTATATATCTATGAAGGACAGGCTATTGTGCCAGATGAGGTATTACATCTCATCAGCTGTGGTTGCAAATCTGGCTGCAAATCAGCAATGTGTAACTGTACCAAGTTCAGTCTAGCATGTACGGAGTTCTGCAAATGCAGAGGTGAAGGAAACTGCGAAAATGTGGTGAAGAGGGTACCACAGGAAGAACTAAGCGGGGATGAGGAAGATGAAGATAATGATGAAGATGTTTTTGAATAATTGAATGAAGGCATTCTTGTGTTGTACAGTAAGACTCGTTGTTTTTGTGTGACATGACAGTGATCGAACCATTTGTCCATTATTTCATTTCTTTGTTCAGTATTAAGGGTATGTCTGAATATGATGTCAATTACCATTTTTAATTGTTTTTATTCAAAAATGCTCAACCTGTATTAACTGGCATACATCAGATTTGGAACAAACTGGGTTGAATTGTGGAGAAATTGTTAAAACATGTTATATATGTCCCTGAACATAGCCCAGACTAGTCACGTTGGGAATTGCCGCTATCGCGTAAAAAGAAATACCATGAAAAGTTCTAGATGGAGTAATGGTATTGGTACCAAAATGTCCGCAATACCCAAGTTTATATACATGTTCCATACATACTTGGGGTCTAAATACAATACTATCGCCGTTATTCACAAAAAAGTGTATTTTCGGGTGGCCATGTTGGATTAGAAAAAAATGCTCAACACATACGAGCTGGCATACATCGGATTTGGCATCAGCACATAAACATTGACAAGAAACAGCAAAAAACATTATATATGTCGAAAAACAAGCACCTGTGCCCTCTAGCCCGGACTATATGTTCATATGAAAGAGATGAAGAATATGCACGAGATGAAATCGTAAATCTCTCGGGAACGTTAAATATGAGCTTATATTATATATTATATATATTATTTAGTACGCTATTAACGTCCAACAATGCATTCGAAAACAGAAAATACTGAGGTTAATCCTAAGCCCTTTACGCCAGCAATACATCAAGCTCAACTCCAACAAGGTTGTCCGGCATCCTTATAGCAAGATAGTCTGTCAAGAAGAAGAATCCATCAAGGATTTGTTTACCTCTCTCACAAGTGTTACAAAGCCAGCGCGATTTCTTTTCACACGGAGCAAAAATCCTGCGACTCGCAGGGCAGGCGCTCGTTACACGCGCATCGTGCACACAATGCAAAATATTCTAATTTTAATAGCATCATTTGGGTAATTTTAGATTAAAGTTATTAGTAGGAGTGGCGCGCGCATGGAGTGGCTCTCCACGCATCCCGGCGAAAGTGACTTCACTACACGTCGCGCCGATAATGAAGAGCCACGGGAACGTGCATGCCCCGAAAACAAATCGACGCGCAGACGAGCTACAGACAGCGTGCCGACGGCAGGTTTAACGAACGAGAAGAAGAATGCGAATAGGAAGAAATAGAAGGAAGAGGAGGAGAAGAAAAAGGAGAGAGACAGAGAGAAAAGAGATGACGACAGTAATCAAAAAGAAGAAGAAAGGAAGAAAAGGTGGGCGAGGAGGAAGAAGAAGAGGTGGGGGAGGAAGAAGAAGAAGAAGAAGAAGAAGAAGAAGAAGAAGAAGAAGAAGAAGAAGAAGAAGAAGAAGAAGAAGAACAGAGGAGATGTACGCGGACGCACCGAACAATGCCTCATCAGTGCGACAATGCAGGGCCCACACACGCCAAGTGCTAGCTTACGGATCAAGCTGCGGACGGATTAATGCGCCTTGATTGCCGACGTGGCCGCGACGAGATTACAGTATGATACACATAATGCCATGTATCATGTAGAAGATAACGTGTAAGTGCTAGTGATCGGTGAAACAAACGCGAAGTGATGAAATTCATTTGCAGCTCATTCAGTATACCATTCATCGTACACCATCATCATCATCGTCATCATCATCATCATCATCATCTTCATCTTCAGCAGCAGAAGCAGCACCCACACCACCACCACCATCGCCGCCGCCACCACCATGGCCAGGAGTAGTAATAGCATCAGTAGCAGCAGCAGCAATAGGTAGCATACTAAGCATAGGCATATAAGAAATCCATATAAATGTTTAGAATTCATGACATTTCCACACGATGTCTCTCCCAGTTGTCACATGCGGCAGTGTAGACTAATACGGTTTGATCGGACTGGCAGTTCCATACTACACGACCACAAACAACACGCAGTCGCGATATATATATAAATATGTATACATCTATATATATATTTATATGCGTAATATTATCGCCCCCAAAACAGCTACTAGTATTTTATTGCGTGATTGTGTGGCGACTGAAGGACGCCGCGCGTGGTTACGTAGACTGTATTTACAGGGTAACACACAGTAACGAGATGCTCTTATAGTCAACGCTGGTTGCTACGTGCGAGGCATGCGAGATAGTAGAGAGTAGGCAGAGAGCCAAGCAGAGCAAAGGCGGCGAGGGAGCTAGAGGACAGGCGAGGAGCAGGGAAGAGGAGGGCGGTAGGAGAAAGAAGAGCGGGAGTGAAGGAAGACGAAGCGAGAGTGGGTGATAGACAATACGAGAGCAAGCGAAAGCGGAGAGGGAGTGCGCGACTGGCGAGAAGACAACACGATGGACACGCGAGAGGAGAGGTGGAGCGGAAGAGAGGAGGCAGGCAGCATGATAGAAGAGGGATTGAAGGCCAGAGGAAAGCGCTTACATATTATCATATATATATATATATATATATATATAGATAATTTTATTAGATCTATTATTATTCACTCCTGATATATCCATCTATAATGTCATCAGTTAACCCGCCAGGCGCACATTCCTCCACAAGGTGTCGCTGCATGCGTTCGCAGGGACACGGACTCTCACCCGACACCACTGATCCCTACATACTAAGTCTTAGTATATAGAGATCAGTGCCCGACAAACCACGCCGTGGGCAATGAAAACAGTGTCGCCTATACCTTACACCGGGAACGCAGGCAAGATTAGGGATTTCTGCGTGTCAGGAAGTAAATGGAAATTACTATGTCGTTTCGCACGATAGAGGGCGGTTTCCGATTGCGTGCACACTGAAAGACAGATCGACATCGCGTATTTAGTGACAATCCCGTTGAGTGAGTCATGCTCTACGGAAACCTCTGCAAGCTGTACTAGCGAGAGCACTTCCGAATGACTGCGCACTATTGCCATTATTTTTGCCGCGATGATTTTAACCCACTTACAAGTAAACGAGTGGTAAATTAATGTTAACTAGAGTCGCTCTACATAAAGCGACTCTAGATCGAACGACACGTGGCGCCCTCTTCTCGTCAACGCTCCGTCGATAGGGGGCGTACAGGTCGGAAAACGCCTGATACTTCTCCGACAGCCTTTCGAGTCGCTTAGACTGACTCCATGTCGTCGCACTGAATGCGTGCGTGTACGTGCGCCGAACTCTGACAGCGCGAGTCAATAAGATCAGACCAAGAGCGTATAAAGAATCTTCTTTATACGCTCTTGATCAGACCGGTCTACGTCCTCGGGGGAAATATCACAGCCAGGGATGAGGAAATCTGATAGTGATAAACGAATGCAGACCTTAGCTTAAAGATATTATCGTAGGAACAGACGGATCGGGATTTTGTACAGTTTTTATAGTTCTATTGATATTGCATTTTTTATTTAAAGGTCAGGAATTACATATTATTAAGGAGGTAGCCTATTTCCAGTGCTACGTGCGGCGCAAGAGGATAGGACCTGGAGTCAAATCACACCACATTTTTCTACATTTTACTTCCGGCTAGATATAGTGATAAAGTGATAAAGCTATTAGCAATATCGAAAATATATCAGCACTTGAGTTTCCGTCTACTCAGTTATAGTGCGTTTTAGACTGGCTTCACACTGCTAGGTATTAGCTGAAGCGAGTGAAGGTAATGTAATGTACTCATCGTCCACGCAAGCTGGAAAAATATTATTAGAAATGGCATTACCCAGAATGCAATCTGTCAATAACACTTGAGCACACTAAGCCCAGCTGGTGGTCGTGGCATACATGTTGTAGAGAGCATTCTCACACGTCCGCTCGACGGGGCAGATGCCTGAGCATCATACTGTTATGCACGATCAAGTACATTAAACGATCACATCACTAACCAATTGTAAAACGAATATATAACTATAGTATATGTTCAACTAATTAATAATTAACTAATACGCCTAATTACAGCAGCGCAGGGTTCCAATCTGTTAACTAGACTTTAATTAACGTCGTTACTGTTCGGCGAAAACTGCCAAAACAATGATAGAACAAAATTACATTACAGTTACGAGGAACTGCTCATACATTGTTGTCATGAATAGCTAAAGTAAACATCAGAGGAATTTTTTACCGTAATCTTCTTAATTCTAAACATTCCGACGTAATGCAGTTCATCATTGATTCGGAATCGACTATACCCCGTCCATATTTTCCGACAAAAGAAGAAAGCTCTTTTCAAGAACGACGAAAAACATCTTCGCGCGCCCGTGCGCTCTTTCTCTCTCATTATGTGTCTATCTCTGCCTGCTAGCCTGCCTGCTTATACTTGCTGCCGATCCAATCATCCATCCATCCATGATCCATCCATCCATCCGTCCGTCCGTCCGTCCGTCCGTCCGTCCGTCCGTCCGTTGGATGGATGGATGGATGGATGGATGGATGGACGGACGGACGGACGGACGGACGGACGGTCCATCCATCCATCCATCCCCCCACCATCCATCCATCCATCCATCCATATTCAGCCATTCATCCATTCATCCATCCGCCCAGCCCATCCATCCATCCATCCATCCATCCATCCATCCATCCAACCAAATCCAACTATCCAACCATCTATGTATCTCTCTCCCCTTCTCTAGTTCACACGCGCGCTACCACATCTCCTACCACACCCTTATATCCCCCATCTTTCTCTTGCTCTTCCCCTTCTCCTCTCTTTCTACCCCGCACACTCCGTGTGGCTGTCCTTTCTCTTTATTGTTCTATCTCGGCCGCTCCCGCTCTCTCGCTCATTGTCCGCCAAACACGCAACGCCAAAGAAACGGTTTCCATATATAGTTCCGTCGTAAGTACAAACGACAGCAGGTCAGATTCACCGTCAAAGTCCGATCATTGTCACACGACACGTAATGGAGTCGCCGAAGACATGAGCTTGCCCTACGCTCACTGCTGCTACGTAAGCCACTACTATACTGCAGCTGCCACTGCTGCTGATTATGCTGCTGCTGCTACTGCAGCTGCCACTGCTGCTGATTATGCTGCTGCTACTGCTGTATACGTAAGTATGCTACTGCTGGTGCGTATGCTATTGCTACTGCTGTATCCGTAAGTATGTTACTGCTGCAGTTGCTACTGCTGCTGCATATGCTATTGCTACTGCTGCTGCATATGCTATTGCTACTGCTGCTGCATATGCTGTTGTTACTGCTGCTGCATATGCTATTGCTACTGCTGCTGAATATGCTATTTCTACAGCTGCTGCATATGCTATTGCTACTGCTGCTGCATATGCTATTGCTACTGCTGCTGCATATGCTATTGCTACTGCTGTAAGTATGCTACTGTTGCAGTTGCTACAGCTGCTGCGTATGCTATTGCTACTAATGTATACGTAAGTATGCTACTGCTGCAGTTGCTACTGCTGCTGCGCATGCTATTGCTACTGCTGTATACGTAAGTATGCTACTGCTGCTGATTTTGCTATTGCTGCTGAGTATGCTTTTGCTGCTGTTGTATACGTAAGTATGCTACTGCTACTGTGTATATATACTACTGGGCATACTATTGTTACCGTGTATGATACTGAATATACTACCACAACTGAGCGTGTTACTGCTACTGCCGCCGCTACTGCTACTGGTTATACTACAGAGTATGGTAATGCTACTGAGTATGTTATTGCTACTGCCGCCGCTACTGCTACTGGTTATACTACAGAGTATGGTAATGCTACTGAGTATGTTATTGCTACTGTGTATCCTACTGCATATGCCAATGAGTATGCTACTGCCACTGCGTATATATGCTACTGGGTATGCTACTGCTAATGTGTATATATGCTCCTAAGTATGCTGCTAATGCATATACATGCTACTGAGTATGTTACTGCTAATGCGTATATATGAAACTGAGTATGCTGCTAATGCATATACATGCTACTGAGTATGCTACTGCTAATACCTATACATGCTACTGAGTATGCTACTGCTAATACCTATACATGCTACTGAGTATGCTACTGCTACTATGGGGTAGCAGCAGGTCATCACAAACAAACCCCCGATTAGGCGTTACGCGAGATAAGCAGCTTATAGTTAAGGTGTCGCGATCGTCAGTGGTCTGAGGGCTCCTTTCTTCATGTCTGTACACACACACATATAATATATACATATATATAAACGAAAGAGCAGTATTTAGCACACTCGACCATGATATATTATATATCAGGGTCGAGTGTGCTAAATACTGCTCTTTCGCTTGTATACGTCCGCCTAAAAGTCAAAGTCTCGATGGCTGGTTGGATGCCTGCTCATGGTTAATGCCATTGGTTCTAGCTATTCCCTGTCCCAAACACGGCCATTTCGCGTTAAAATTATCAACTCTAAAATAATCAGAAAATTCATACATGTAAGCAAATTACGTCTCACCCGTTAGCGTGCATATTACCGATTATTTCAGAATCAAAATTACAACGAATTTGTGTATTGTTATAGGCTATAAAACATCAAATTAACAGCAAAATTGCGCCTGCATTCTTGAGATTCGCGAAAATACTGCCACAAAACAAGCGCGCGTGCTTATGTGACGTAATTTTTTCTAGACTGGCACCATATCTCAGCACGTGGACAAAGGTGTGGAGAACAGGAAACCGGTCGATGGTATCTTGAGAAAGCAAGAACCACGCGCTAGTGATGTTGGCATATGTAAACAAATCTAATTTAAGATGCAGATCGGCAAAATAACGAGGGTGCGAGATGTTCGAGTGTCCTACATGTGTTTTTATTTATATTACTGCCTTACTATTTATACGTGGCGTCGCGTAAGGAGTACTGGTAAGTATCAGAACGGTTGAGAGAACATGTTGAATCACTGAAGCTGTAATGCTCGCCGACCGCATACGTACAGTATATTCAATCATTCAGCTTTTCAGCGGGATACATAAGCGTACCCACGAGAGCACCCAACGGTTTCTGATCGCCTCGCTAGCATCACAAACACCCAGACTCACCGTACCTGCTCCTGCTAAAATAACAACAACGCGACCGCGCGTGCGTCACCCGCGTACGAACCCTGTTTCAACTCTAGCCAACTATATAAATGCATCAACACGTCGGTAAGGCGGCAAGCTGCGCGGATGACCGCATGACGTCGGCTGTAGACACAACAGCAGTTGTTACAGTATAGTATAGCAAGTACGCGTGGACACGTTGTAGTATTGTGAATACCCTAGCTCAAGGAATCGCGCGCGCACACATCTACATACGCACGCACACATATATATAATACACATGCTGGCACATACGCGCGCACGAGCACACGCACGCACGCACGCACGCACGCACGCACGCACGCACGCACACACACACACACACGCACACAAATACACACTCAAATATATTAACATTTGTAAGAATAAAAATTCCCCATCCTCGCAAAGAAATGGTTTAGAAATGCCTAATGTAAGCACGGCCTCCCTCGACCTACATTGCGTGCTGCTCCCATAACTGCGACCAATAACAACTAACAAAGTATGGCAGCACCCTCCCACACGTACACAAGTATCACCAGAAATAACTCTTCATATATAGCTTCAAGAGCGTATAAAGAGCCTTCTTTATACGCTCTTGATAGCTCGTATTATCGCCATTACTGATATCGCAAATGTCAAAACCAACTATAAACGCACGCACGCACGCACGCACGCACGCACACGCACGCACACACACACACACACACACACACACACACACACACACACCACACACCACACACCACACACCACACACCACACACCACACACCACACACCACATGCATATATCTATATATATCTATATATATATAGCGATACATTCAACGAAAACGGATCAAAACAAGAAATTTCGACGGGGCATGTACTCTGGCATGTTCTACCATTTCGACTATTATATAGGAAATCTTCAAAATATACAGCCGACTTCTAACCGCATATTCCCGTGACGTAAACGCACGAAAATAAGCGTTTATTTATTATTTCGTTGGCCTCAGCACTCAGCCTCAGCCTCAGCACTCAGCCTCAGCTCAGGCATGCGTCCGCCAGATAATACATGTCCGTAAATCGTGTCGTCACATATATACACGTGTGCCATGCTCGCCACGCACACGCATACACGCCATGCACACGAAGTACGCGTACACCAACAATCACCACGCTATCCTCGTGGCAGCCCCTCTTCCAGTATCTGTACAATTAGCTATATCACTTACTTCTTAAGAATGTCATGGCTTGACATATACATGTACAGTGGTCACATACAAGCCTACTGCTGCTGCTACTACTGTTGCTGCCGCTGCTTCTGCTACTACTACTACCTACTAGTACTACTACTGTTGCCGCATCTGCTGCTGCTACTACTGTTGCTGCCGCTGCTTCTGCTACTACTACTACCTACTAGTACTACTACTGTTGCCGCATCTGCTGCTGCTACTACTGTTGCTGCCGCTGCTTCTGCTACTACTACTACCTACTAGTACTACTACTGTTGCCGCATCTGCTGCTGCTACTACTGTTGCTGCCGCTGCTTCTGCTACTACTACTACTACTACCTACTTAGTACTAGTACTACTACTGTTGCCGCATCTGCTGCTGCTACTACTGTTGCTGCCGCTGCTACTACTACTACTACTACCTACTTAGTACTAGTACTACTACTGTTGCCGCATCTGCTGCTACTATACTGCTGTTGCCGCCGCCGCTGCTGCTGCTGCTGCTGCTGCCGCCGCGCTTACCACTACTTTTGCATAGCGTTTCGCTTGATTTATGATACGTTTACCAGAGCAAAGACTGCCACCACTGTCATAAAGTTATTAGGCTAATCCATTTATATACAACTGCGTTGACCTTACGGACGCAATCGGTTCTGTCTGTTTTCCAGCTGTCGCATGTTACCCGTTTTATGCGTCTGTTCGTGTGCGCGTTCGTGCGTACGCGTGCGGGCGTTCGTGCGCGCGTGCATACGTGCGTGCGTGCGTGCGTGTGCATCTTCACATATGGCGATGCTATGCCTCTAATGAAAAACTACGTGCTCTTGTTTTCTTGTGTGCTGTTTATGTACGTTTGTGTGCTGAGTGATGTGCTGTTTTCGTGCTCGTTTGTGCTTGTGTGCTGTTTATGTGCTTGTGTACTGATGTGCTGTTTGCATGCTCGTTTGTGTTTGTGTGCTGATAATGTGCTTTTGTGTGCTTATGTGCGTTTTATATCTAACTACTCGTGTCACTGTGCCATCATTCATCAATACAAAAAAATAAATTTTACAAAAATATATCGTTTTGCAGTATAGTCTACCAACGGCACAGCATTTTATACATCGTTCTAATTGTGAGGAAGTTGAATTTCGCGAAACTAAGGCCCGTTAGCAATAGTAAAGAAAGACATGCCGAGCTATAATCAGATTGATTGACGGATAGATTTCAGCAGTCACATTAAATTAGTCTCTATTTCAATTTTTAATAAATAATTTCAGGGATACAAGATTGACTTTAGCAGATATTAGGTACGCGTGAACAGAGATCAGACGTTATATTTTATTCGACGCTTTCCATGGAAGAATAACACTGTGGTATGTCTCGACAGATATCTAGACGCAATACTATTGTCAATTTTGACTTTCGAAATACGAATGAGTTTTCGCTCTCTATTTTTAATGTATAATTTCTAAAAAAAACAGTATACATACATATATATATATACATATATTGTATGACATCATACTCGACAATAGCGCCGACAACAGAGACACAGAATTGTATACATCATTTCTTTACACTTCGTAGAAAATTGGTATGTTGGGAAGATAGCAGCCCTGAGTCAAGTGAGGCGTTTGGATCGAGCTTCATTGAATTAAACTACGCAATTCTAGAGATATAGATGGCGCAAACCTAGTGCAATTCCATACTACATTAACCCGGAAGGCTTCAGTAAGTGTGGCACGGCGGAGTGCTTGACCGAGTAAAAACCAATGAAAGGCAGAAACAGGAGTGCAACAGGAGCAGAACACATCGAGGGAACATAATTATCGAGCTGTGACGTAGGTCCTATTGAGTAAATGACGTACTGGAAATGCCAGTACCTGTGGTCCGTTCTCAGAAACCTCACAAATAGTTATGACTATATCAGGAGTGAATAATAGAGATCTCTATTATTCACTCCTGACTAGCTCGTAGCTGTCATAGCTGTCATAGCTGTCATAGCTGTCATAGCTGTCATAGCTGTCATAGCTGTCACTACACACACACACACACATCCACATGCATATATCTATATATATCTATATATATATATATAGCGATACATTCAACGAAAACGGATAAAACAAGAAATTTCGACGGGGCATGTACTCTGCATGTTCTACCATTTCGACTATTATATAGGAAATCTGTCAAAAATATACAGCCCGACTTCTAAACGCATATTCCCGTGACGTAAACGCACGAAAATAAGCGTTTATTTATTATTTCGTTGGCCTCAGCACTCAGCCTCAGCCTCAGCACTCAGCCTCAGCCTCAGCATGCGTCCGCACGATAATACATGTCCGTAAATCGTGTGGTCACATATATACACGTGTGCATGCTCGCACGCACACGCATACACGCACGCACACGCACACGCACACGAAGTACGCGTAACCAACAATCACCACGCTATCCTCGTGGCAGCCCTTCTTCCAGTATCTGTACAATTTAGCTATATCACTTACTCCTTAAGAATGTCATGGCTTGACATGTACATGTACAGTGGTCACATACAAGCTACTGCTACTACTACTGTTGCTGTTGCTGCTTCTGCTGCTACTACTACTACTGTTGCTGCTGCTGCTACTACTACTACTACTGTTGCCGCATCTGCTGCTGCTACTACTACTACTAACTACTAACTACTAACTACTAACTACTAACTACTAACTACTACTACTACTACTACTACTACTACTACTACTACTACTACTACTACTACTGTTGCTGCTGTTGTTGTTGCTTCTGCTTCTGCTGCTACTACTACGGTTGCTGCATCTGCTGTTACCATTACTGTTGCTGCTGCTGCTATTAGTTTTACTACTGTTGCCGCATCTGCTGCTGCTACTACTGTTGCTGCCGCTGCTTCTGCTACTACTACTACCTACTAGTACTACTACTGTTGCCGCATCTGCTGCTGCTACTACTGTTGCTGCCGCTGCTTCTGCTACTACTACTACCTACTAGTACTACTACTGTTGCCGCATCTGCTGCTGCTACTACTGTTGCTGCCGCTGCTTCTGCTACTACTACTACCTACTAGTACTACTACTGTTGCCGCATCTGCTGCTGCTACTACTGTTGCTGCCGCTGCTTCTGCTACTACTACTACCTACTAGTACTACTACTGTTGCCGCATCTGCTGCTGCTACTACTGTTGCTGCCGCTGCTTCTGCTACTACTACTACCTA